CAAGGGCATTTACTATCTTCAGCTAGTATTTTTACTGCTGAATTATATGCCATCCTTACAGCACTTATCCGTATTGCATCTATGCCTGTGTCATCATTTGTGGTTGTCTCAGACTCCCTTAGTGCTTTACAGGCTATACAAAATTTGATACACCTCACCCCTTAGTCCTCCGTATCCAACTTTGCTACGCCGCATCTTTACTAAGCATAAAGATATTGTTTTTTGTTGGGTCCCTGGTCATGTTGACGTACAGGGCAATGAACAGGCAGACACTGCTGCGCGGTCAGCAGTACATGACCTACCAGTTTCTTACAGAGGTATTCCATGTACGGACTATTTTGCTGTAATATCTTCCCACCTTCACACCCGTTGGCAACAACGTTTGGTCTACTATGCTCGGCAAACAAACTTCAGTCTATTAAACCGAGTATAGGTTTACTGGCCGTCTTCTTATCACCAGTGTCGAGGTTGGGAGACTACTCTCTCCCGTCTTCGCATTGGCCATACTCGTCTTACTCATGGATATCTCATGGAGAGGGTCTTGCTCCTCTCTGTGAGAATTGCAAGCTCCATTATCAGTCAGCCACATTCTGTTGGACTGCCCACTTTATCAACGAGCACGCAGAATTTACCTCTGTCGTCGTCTTCGCCCCGCTGCTCTCTCTTTACCTTCCCTTCTCGCTGATGGACCCCACCTTTCATCGGACTCTCTTATTGACTTTTTGACAACGACTGACTTACTTCACAAATTCTGATACTTTCAGCCCTTTCTACTTGTATCTCTTGCTACCCTCTACCCCCGTACTATCCCCTGCCCCGCTGTTTTCTGTAACCTGCTGATCATCCCCCCTCCCTCCTGCCATCCAATTCCCTTGCTTCCTTCCCTACCCTGCAGCGCTGTATAGCCCTTGTGGCTTAGCGCTTCTTTTTGATTATAATAATAATAATAATAATATTCCCAGGATGACTAGAGTATGGAACACATTCGTACAGCATTATGATGTCAAAGATAGTCAGTTGATCAGATGAAAATGCTGGCCCACAGATGCCTCCAACTTCATCCTATTCCCTACCTGTATGGTTTCAAATGAGCTGATGTAAGTAACAGCTCTTAGCTTGTCAATAAGTTCGGAATCCTTAACCTGTAAATAGCTTGTCAATAAAGCTAGGGATCCTTAACCTAACCTTGTCAAACCCTGTGTAAATAATAAAAAAAGGGGGGGGGGAGCAGGCTAAGAGAGTGGTAAGGGAATGTAAAAAGAGAACAAACAAATGGGACAGTGGGTGAGGTGCTGTCAACAAATTTTACTGAGAATAAGAAAAAGTTATGGAATGAGATTAATAAGTTGAGACAGCCTAGGGAACGAATGGAATCAACAGTTAAAAACAGAAAAGGGGAGTTATTGGATGGAGAGAATATTTTGAAGAATTGTTAAAAGTTGATATAGAGGGAATCTGTGATTTCATGTATTGGCCAGTGAGGTATAGCATCTTTCAGGAATGAGGAAGAGCCAGATGGGAGTGTAGGGGAGGTGCGTGAGGATGTGGGTAAAATGAAAGGGGGATAAAGTAGTGGGAATTGAAGGGATCAAGGTTTGGAGTTTGTGGTGGAGTTGTTATTGAAAGAATTAACCCTTTGAGGGTCCAGAGCCTCAATCTGAAACTTGTCCATAGGGTCCAAGAATTTTCAAAAAAATTTTATGAAATGGTAGAGAACCTTTTTCTGGAGGTAATAAAACAAAAAGTACAAAATTTAATGGAAAATTGATGAAATTATGCTGTTGCAAACTTTGGTACATCAGCGATATTTACGCATTGGCGATTTTGCCCACTTTGAATTTGATTTATGGCCAATTACATAGCTCCAGTCGATCAAATTCTTAGCTATTTCACTACTACACGTTTCATTTTAGTGATTGAGCACAAGAAAATGTCCAGTCATCTATTTCGACTACCCAATAAAGTGATCGAAATTGGTAATTTGGCCAATTTCACAAATTTCAAAATACAGTGGACCCCCGCATAACGATCACCTCCGAATGCGACCAATTATGTAAGTGTATTTATGTAAGTGCGTTTGTACGTGTATGTTTGGGGGTCTGAAATGGACTAATCTACTTCACAATATTCCTTATGGGAACAAATTCGGTCAGTACTGGCACCTGAACATACTTCTGGAGTGAAAAACTATCGTTAACCGGGGGGTCCACTGTATACTGTTTCAAAATTGGGTCCGGGAATAAAACAATGCAGGCTTTTCCTGACACTATTTATAACATTTCCTCTGTAATAATTGTGTAAATAACATCAGTGCATTTGTAAACTCATGTTAGACTTGCCTGTTAGTGTGTATTGGATGTGTGATGCGATTAGTTTACTCTTGAACATTTGAAAACTTCAAAAAGTTTCCGCTACTTTGAGTCACTTTCCCAAACTATTTTTCCTTCCTAAAAAGACTCAAAATGATCTCTATTTCTGTAATATATCTTCCATTCTATCAAATGACTGATAAAAACCATACGAAAATACACTGTAAATTCGTTTTTTTTAAACCAAAAATACTGTTGCATTTGTTTTCCTCATTATGTTACTGCATGCTGCAGGACATTTTTTATATGGTGCACACTTTACCACATAGAACCCCTTCTTTCATATCTAGGCCCAAATTTACCACTCTCAGCTTATCTGGGTGAGGTGAGCTCATCACATAGTATTATGGCATGGACTCTGGCTTCAAAGCCATAGAACAGTGGCTTGGACTCTCAAAGGGTTAAGGGTAAGACGGAGAGCAGGATCTTTTTGGGTCACCTTACCTTGGTGGAAGACAGCAGGTTTGTTGAAAAAACTAAAATACATGTACCTTGTTTATTCTAATTTTTTTTTTTTTTACTATTTTGGTCTTCTAATGTTATGTATAAGAAATACTTATAATATTACAATTGTCTGAGTATAATACTCCTTTAAACATGGAAATAAGTAACGTTGTTTGGCTGTACTTGGCTATACTGGGTTAAATATACTTCATGCGCTTTGTGGTCGAATTCCACTGTTAGTATCACGAAATTTGTAATAAATTTGGAATGAATAAGTCATCTTTGTGCCACTTCCCCACACACTGTTGGTAGTGAAGCTGCTGGTGGAACAACAGCTCCTGGTTTTGTTGTTTACTTATGCTAGTTAGGCATATGTACTAGTATGCTAGACACAGCTCACACCTGAATAGTCAACCATGATGTACTCTGCGGACTCTCCTGGTCTTAGATTTTTTTCAAGTGTGAATAGATTGTAGAAGACCCAAAGAGTTGTGATGTCAAAAATATTGGCAGGTAGCAGATTTGAAGGTACGAAAAATTGTGTAGTAGTAGTAGTAGTATGTTGGACACATTCGCCAGTTGTGAATTGGTTCATTGGACACGGTTTAAAGGTTAAGGGATGCAACACTGGCTGTTTGCAATAGTTTACCATAATACATAAAATTTCTAGAGTTTTGTGCAACAGAAGTGGTGGATGAGCATGCTATAAATTGCTTCCTCCAAGCCAAGCATGTTAGGATCATGCCAGATATGTTGGCAGGGTAATATCCCTATAGAACAAATCAATTTCATATACAAATAATGTTTACATGTAGCAATTAAGGTAAGGCTTTGCAGGCAAATGCTTCCACCAATTTTTCTAGTATAGCTTAAATGGTAACCCTCTTTCATCATCACAACCCCTGAAAGTGCTGACAGGAATGATTTATCTAAAAAAGAAAAAATGCCAAAATGATGGGGAATATTTTCTGAAGACAATGAGGGGGAACAATGCAAAATTTGATGGAAAACTTGTAGAATTATGCAGGCTCAAAATTGGCAGTATGGGTGCAATTTATTCAATTTGATCCATTTCCTAGCTATTTCACTAATGTGCCTTCTGTTCTATTAAGGGCATGAAACTACCCATTCTACTATCAGAATTATAAAGTGCAGAGAAGCTAATAATTAGTTAATTTTACACAAGTCAGCAAATTTCATTTTAGAAGCAGTTCAAAATAAACAGTAGGGTTTTCAGCCACAAAAACAACCTTTTCTCTGTTCATTAATCATGTGTCCAGGCCTCTCCTACATAACACTTAGCCTCTATTTTGAATCCATCATCACACAAAGGATCAGTTTTATCCAATTTCTTGGATAACTAAATCTAATCAAGAATGATTGGTCATGGTTTAGGACATCCCAACAATTGAAGCAGACCTAGTAAAAGCCTATAAAACAGACCCAGAGGAAGGGAAGATTGTAACGGTCCCTACCCTTCCTCTGGAAAATTGTCAAAAGTTTAATATTTTTGCCATTTTGAGGCCTATCAGTTGATAATAAGAAACAGCCAAAGTAACCATGGAAAAAGTAACCTGGAAAATTCATGAAAGTCACCATTTTAAACCATACACAATGTTTCTTTGCACTGTACACATTCACTGCACAGGTGCATTCTCTAGTGTCTAGCCAATATATACTGCTCATAGCATATTTGAGGGTGCTTTGCTTAAAATGTAGATAGATGTGAGGGACACTGGCATCAGTAATGTAGATCTATGTGGGAGACTGTGAAAGAATTAAAAGTTAAATATTTTAACTCTTCAGTATATGAAAAAATAATTCAGGTATAAAGTACAGCATATATTTTTAGGCATGTTTCATTCTTGTACTTTCATATTTGTTCATTAAGTAATAATGTATCCTGTTAGAATGATGACAAATTCTGTCAGTTTCATTGTCTGTTTCCCATTCATCTTGGCTTAAATATTTGCATCTCCCTACATTTGCATTGAAATTGTTGTTGCTTTAAATTTCTCTTCAGTAGAAGCTTACCTCTAATGCATTTTGATTAATTTTTTGTGTAATATAGTAGTGTAAAATTTTGAAATCTGGCTATGGCCAGATCACCATTTACCTACTAGTATCTACTTTGTTCTTGGGAGAGTGCTATATTATATAGGTAATTGATTAGTATTTCTGTTTCAGCTGATCCGCTGGTAGGGAGCATTGCCACGCAGTTCCTCCAGAACCGGGAAGAACATGATAGAATTGCTCGGCTCTGGACCAAACGTTATGCTACGTGATCACTTGTATCTAGTGTCAACAGGGTATTAAGCATCTCTTGCACCATGCCAGTTAGTGTTTTAGCCAGCCTTGTAAAAGTGATTTGAAGTCATTTATTTATATAGGCATGCATATTGTATTGTTCACGAATCGGCTGGAAATAGAAAGCTTCTAAATTTGTTTGTGGCATGGTGAAAAAGATTGTGGTCATTGTTCATTACCTCATTTTCCAATATTTCCATATTTTGTCAGATTCACTCATTATTTTTCCTTTATGCATATGGTATTGATGAAACTGAATCCTTTCAGTGTTTTAAAGACTTTTTTTTTTGTTTTGTTTTTGATTGGTTCCTCATGACAGTATTTTGATGACTCTACTTATCATCCATGTTCAGTTTGGCACAAGTTGAGTTAGCAGCAGGGCACTGTCTCCATCTGAACTTGCCACATAGCTGCCTCTCCTAGATAGCTTCCAGTCTGTCTATAGTAACAGTGCACTAGTCTACTAGCAATGTTGCCACTAGTCTATTTGCAGTGTTACCCACTCAGTGTTTCAGCCTTTTGAGAGGTTGCTCTGCCCCCAGTGTGTTAAGGAAGCCTGTGCTCTTTCCACATTGTCGGAAGATTTTGAGCATTGCCACTCCAATCTTGAGGGAGAAGTGCTGTGTTCAGTCATAAAGTTCGGTGCTCCTACAGTGTAATGTGAGTCAGCAAGTTATTAGGGATACAGTGCTCTTCCCACAGTGTTGCAAGGATGAATCAAGTGTTGTAAGAGATTGTATGCTATTTCTACAGTGCTGTGAGGGAGCAGGTGCTCTCCCCAGTGTTGTGGGACGAGTTGTCATCCCCACAAGTTGTTAGTCAGTCTATATTGTTCCCACAAAATTGTAAGAAAAGTACTGTACCCATAGCATTGAGGTGTGATTACTGTTTTTATAAGGCCATTGATGATTTAGCTGTAACTGTATACTCTTGTATGTTAGTTGGAGTACTTTGTGGGAAGAATACCCATTAATTTGGATTAACAGAAGGTTGTGTACATTGTGGTACACCAGTCAGTTTCTTTTAAAAATTGTTAACCCAATTTCAGGTTTAGTCAGCCTGGGTAATAATCATATGGAACGTAACTAGACATAAGTGTAGACATAAGTTATTCTGATTTTAGGGTTGATATTTAAAATATTTCCATCTCTGGGTTTGTTGTTTACATGTTGACTGTATGTTTTGTGCTGCCTCATTTAACATCAGTGAATCTACTTGGGCTGCGAGTTACAATGATTGTGAGTAATGCAGGAGATGGATATACTAAGATTTTCTTCACTTCCATGTATTTTGTTTTCAAATTGCTCAGTTATGTAACTTGGCCAAATGAGTTTGCTTTTACTCTTGCTTTGTGAACTGGAGAAGTTAATTATCAGAATGTCCCTTTTGTCATGCAAGAATACCTCATTATTTTGCCATTGTGTGTTGTGTGTAGACATGTAGCATACACTATTATTAAAGCAAGTGCATAGTGGCTCATAAGGTGTAATGGTAAGCATCCAAATAATGCTGGATTTAGTTGTGATTTTTTTCTTTTCCTCATGAAAGAACATTAATTATTAGTGTGACTCTGCTCCTCACAGGGAAAATATAAAATCGAAAGAGAAATGGACTCGAACATTACTGGTTACATAAAATGGTGCTGGATGTCTTAATGAAGACTGGAATGAAGCATGTGGAGCAGCCATCCTTGCATCAGTCTTTTGTATTTTTCTGTCATCGATAAGCAAAACGGGGTCAGCACTGATGGAATTCTTCTGGTATGATTAAGGTACTTTTAAGGCTGGGGAAGTGTAGGGCCTCCCCTGGAAGGGTCAGGCATTCTAGAGCATGTACCTAATGCAGGGTCCCCTGGCAGGGTTGGGCATTCTAGAGCATGTACCTGACACAGGGGTCCCCTGGCAGAATTGGGCATTCTAGAGCATACAACTGATGCAGGGTCCCCTGGCAGGGTTGGGTATTCTGGAGCATGCACCTGATGCCAGGTCCCTGGGCAGGGTTGGGCATTCTGGAGCATGCACCTGATACAGGGTACCCCTGGCAGGGTTGGGTATTCTGGAGCATGTACCTGATGCAGGGTTCCCTGGCAGGGTCAGGCATTCTAGAGCATGTACCTGATGCAGGGTCCCCTGGGAAGGTTGGGTATTCTGGAGCATGCACCAGGCACAGGGTCCCCTGGCAGGGTTGGGCATTCTGGAGCATGCACCAGGCACAGGGTCCCCTGGCAGGGTTGGGCATTCTGGAGCATGCTTCTGATGCAGGGTGTTGCTCAGCAACTGTGCAGTTAATCACTTGCAAGCTCTTCACAAATTGAAAACCTTGTTGATTCAATTTTATATTTATTTTTAGTCATTGTCCTTCTAGATTTGTAGTTTTTGGTTTCAACTTTGAGAGCTACACCAAAAATATCCTAGATAAAGCGTCGAGTATGGAATAAATGTTAAAGAAAGCTTCCTGTACCCCCATATCTAATAAAAAATAAAAGTTGGTATTTTTGAAGAGACCAATACACATATTTATTTGTCTTTCGGTGCCCTTTTGGGAATACCAGTGAGTGTGATTGTGAGGGTTTTGGAAATTTGAGATTGTTTTCAAAGTATGACATAAACAGTTGTTGTTTACAAAGTACTGTACATTATAATTTACATGTGCAGGACACTCTTTAGGACAGTAACACCAGCCACATTCAGAGTGCTTTAGCTGTGAAAGTCAGACAGTATTTTTTGAATAATTCTTTTGATCCCCATATTTATTGTTGATAATGCAACAGGTTTCCTCAAGTTTTTTTTTGTTTTAAATGGGACAAAACAACAGTTTATGGGTATTCCTGGTGGGTGCTTCCCCAGCCCATGAGATGGTAGTGAAGTTAGTCTGTGTATGGTGCATCCTTAATGTTGTGCGTTATGTTTAGTATGGGTCACCCTACTTTGGGAAATGGCCAGCGTGGTAAAATAATACATACGTACACCCCACACACATGCACACATGTACATACACACATATACATATGTACATACATATACATATGTATATACACATACATGCCAGGAGCAGTGACTCAACCCTTGCAACCACAAATAGGTGAGTACACACACACACACACACACACACACACACACACACACACACACACACACACATGGCCAGTGAAGAGATGGGGGCCAGGAGCTATGACTAGACCCCTGCAACCACATCTAGGTGAGTATACACACACACACACACACACACACACACACACACACACACACACACTAACACACACACACACACTAACACACACACTAACACACACACACACACTAACACACCACACACACTTCACACACACCACACACTTCACACACACCACACACTTCACACACACTTCACACACACTTCACACACACTTCACACACACTTCACACACACTTCACACACACTTTTCACACACTTCACACACTTCACACACTTCACACACTTCACACACACCACACACACACCACACCACACACCACACACACACCACACACACACCACACACACCACCACACACACACCACACACACACCACACACACACCACACACACACCACACACACACCACACACACACCACACACACACCACACACACACCACACACACACCACACACACACCACACACACACCACACACACACCACACCACCCCACACACACCACACACCACACACACCACACACACCACACACACCACACACACCACACACACCACACACACCACACACACACCACACACACACCACACACACCACACACAGAGGCCGTTGATTATTGCAGTAGTTATGTTTCTGAAGACGTGCAATTAAAAAATTGTGTAAATGAAGCAAAGAATATATGGGAAAAGTTGGGTTATGTTCCTCTTGCCCCTAGAAATGACCCATAAACATTTTTAAATCTTTGTAATTTATCAAGATTTAAATGTAATAGCTTTCCATTCTCTAGTTTGTAGTTGTTGCTTGTTGGTACAGAAGTGTGTGGGGAAAGGTTGATGTGACTCCCACACTACATCTAGTAACATATGACAGGCAGTCCCACAACTATCAGCTACCACCACCACAGCCACATGCAAAGATCAATGAAGATACTATATGTTATCTAATATGACAAGAGTTTTTTTTATTAAATATGCCTAGAATAATACCCCAATAATATGGGGGCAAGCTCTCTCCCAGAATTGAGAAAAATGAAAAAAAAAAAAGGGGGGAGGGGGTTATGACTGCTCTGTTGTTGGGTTTAACCCTTTCACTGTCGGTAATATTATGGCTTGCAAGCCACTGTTGGTCCTGTAATAGTATACCAAAATTCTAGCGGCTTCCAATCTTGCGGGAGGAAGCTGTGTTAGGCCTACATATGAGAGAATGGGTCTAAGTGGTCAGTGTGCACAGCATGAAGGAAAAACCTGCAGCATGTAATACATGAGAAAAAAACTGTTTTTCATTTACAACAGCGACTTTGTGGTGTATTTTCATATGATATTTATGGTTGTATTCTCGTTTTCTGATCTCATTTTGATAGACTGGAAGATATATTACAGAACCAGAGATGATTTTGAATGGTTTATGAACTTAAAAGTACCTTGAAATTGAGCTCTAAATATTGGAAATGTTTGATTTTTTTCCAGTGTTCAAGAGTAAAAAAATTGTGTTTTGCGTCCAGTATATGTCAACTGGTGGGTCTAATATGCTTTTACAAAATTCACTAATATTATTTATACCATTTTTACAATGTAGTAATCTGCATAATAGTAAAATCTTCTATTTTTTTGAGTGATTACAAATTCAAAATGGAAAGCAAGTGTAATATAAGAGGGGCCTGGAGATGACTAATGAACAGAGAAAATTGTTACTTTAGTGCTAGGAATATTTGCATTGTTAATTCTTGAGCCTATTTTGAAATTGGCCTTCCTTGAATTGTGTATGAAATTGGCCATATTACAAATTTCTGATACTTTATTGGGTAGTTGAAATCTGTAAATGAGCAGTTTCTTGTACTCCATCAATAGGAACAAAAAGAGTTATAGTGAAATGGCTGAGCTTGGTTGACTGGAACAATGGATTTGGCTGAAAACAGAGCTCAAAGTGGGCAAAATCACTGATGAGTAAATATCGCCGAGACTGCTAACTTCGCGAGAGTGTAACTCCGTAAGTTTTTCATCAAGTTTCGTACTTTTTGTGTTATTAACATAGGGAAAAGATTCTTTCATTTCATAAGAGAGTAAGTTTGTGAGCAGGGTTCTCGACAGTGAAGGGTTAAGGATTGCAGTGACCAAGGTCTTTGTGTTCATCGCTGCTGTATTATTTTCCATAACATTTTCAATAATAAAATGAGTAATAAGTAGTGTGTGGTGGAGTAAAGTTTGAGCAGATATGTCCTCACAGACCATTCATTATTTATCTCATAATACCAATTTATGACTTAATATGACATAAAAACTATATGAAATAGGTATTGTATTCACAGCTTATCCAGATTCGTTTTTTTTTTTTTTTACCTTGATTATGGAACCGAAGAGAAGCAGAAGGTATATAAATAGTGGGAATCTCGTGGACACATTCAGAACCTGTCAACCCAGATTATGCAAGTCATTTATCACAAGAGAAAAGTTTAGCAACCAAAATGATGCTTGATATATATATATATACAGTGTACTGTATTCACAAGTCACCTCATTATAGCCTTGATTTTGTAAATGGTAGGAAGTAAGGGATATACCAGTTATTGAGTTCTAATCATTATGTATATAAACATTATCTCCAGTATCTTCTCATTTTAGCACTGATGATGCAAAGGATATGAAAAATATTGACTGGTATGCTGGGAAACACCTAATTTAGTCAAATCTGCTAGTTGTGATTTGCATGATGGTAAACAGTTGATACATAAAGGTGTATACTGTGATGGCCCTATGAACACCAAAGATAAACATTTGTACAAATACATAGCACATACACAAATACATAGTAAACAGAGTAAAGTCTGAGGCAGCTACGGTGAAAAGCTCTTTTCCACAAGGCACAGTACTCGCTCCCATTCTATTCCTCATCCTCATATCTGACAGTGATGTAAGCCATAGCTCCGTGTCTTACTTGCGGATGACACTCGGATTGCTATGACAGTGACCTCCGTCGAAGGCACTGCAAGACTCCAGGCGGACATAACCAAATCTTCAAGAGGGCCACTCAAAACAATATGAAGTTCAACGAAGAGAAATTTCAACTACTCAGATATTGAAAACTTGAGGAAATTAACCCTTTGTGTTTCTGACATGCTAGTACAGCTTACGCACCAGGGTTTTTGATGTACTAGTACGCCTAAATTCTAGCGCCCTCAAATCTAGTGAGAGGAAGTTGGTAGGCCTACGTATGAAAGAATGGGTCTGTGGCCAGTGTGTGCAGTATAAAAAAAATCCTGCAGCACACAGTTCGTAATGAGAAAAAAAACTTTGACAGTGTTTTTGGTTTAAAACAGCGACTTTGCACTGTATTTTCGTATGGTATTTATGATGGTATTTTAGTTTTCCTGGTCTCATTTTATAGAATGGAAGACATGCTACAGAAATTGAGATGCTTTTGATTGGTTTTACAACGAAAAGTACCTTGAAATTGAGCTCAAAGTAGCAGAAATCTTTGATTTTTGCCAAAGTTCAAAAGTAAACAAATCATGCTACACATCCAATACAACGTCAACTGGTGAGTCTAATATTCTTTCACAAGTGCGCTGATATTATTCATACCATTTCTACACTAATGCATAACAGTAAATCTTCTATTTTTTGTGAGAATAAAAATTCAAAGTATAAAGCAAAAGAATGTAAGAGGGGCATTGGGACGTGACTAATGAACAGAGGAAATGTCATTTTCGTGCCAGGAATGTCTTTCTTGTTTATTCTGGACCCTATTTGGAAATTGGCATCTTTTGAAATTTGTGTGAAATTGGCAAAATTGCTAAATTCTGACCACTTTATTGGATAGTTGAAATTGGTAAATGGGTGGTTTCTTGTACTCATTCGATAGAAAAAAAAATGGAGTTCTAGCAAAATAGTTATGATTTTTGTCAACTAGTACACTGGAATTGGCTGAAAATAGGGCTCAAAGTGGGCAAAATTGCCAATGTGTAAACGTTGTCGAGACCGCTAACTTCGCGAGAGCATAATTCCGTAAGTTTTCCATCAAATTTCATACTTTTGGTGTCCTTATGATCGGGTAAAGATTCTTTCTCTTTTCATAAGAAAAATAATTTTTTTTTTTTTGAAAATTTGGCGACCCTGAGAACAAGTCTGGGAGAGGGCCTGTCAACCCTGAAAATGTTAAAAACTGTATCAGGGAATATGACAAATTCTAACCATTCAGTAGAGTGAAAAAGTAATGTAAAGGACCTGGGAGGGATAATGTCAGAGGATCTCGCCTTCAAAGACCACAACAATGTATCTACCGCATCTACTAAGAAAATGATAGGATGGATAATGAGAACCTTTGAAACTAGGGATGCCAAGCCCATGATTCTCTTTAAATTGCTTGTTCTCTCTAGGCTGGAATGCTGCTGTACACTAACTGCCTGCTTTAAGGCAGGCAGAATTGCTGACCTGCAGACTGTACAAAGAACTTTCATGGCACCCATAAGTATGATGAGGCACCTAAATTACTGGGAACGGTTGAAGGCCCTTGATTTGTATTCCTGGAATGCAGGCGAGAAAGAGATACTTGATAATATACACTTGGAAAATCCTAGAGGGATTAGTACCAAACTTGCACACAAAAATCACTCCCTATGAAAGCACAAGACTCAGCAGGAGATGCAGCATTCCCCCAATGAAAAGCAAGGGTGTCAAGAGTACACTGAGAGACAACACAGTAAGTCCCATGGGCCCAAGACTGTTCAACTGCCTCCCAGTTTACATAAGGGGGATTACCAGTAGACAGCTGGTTGTCTTTAAGAAGGCACTGGACAGGCACCTAAAGTCAGTACCTGACCAGCATGGCTGTGATTCATACGTCAGTTTGCAGGTGGCCAGCAGTAACAGCCTGGTTGATCAGACCCTGATCCACCATGAGGCCTTGTCTTAGGCAGAGCTGTAGGGGTGTTGACCCCCGATGCCCTCTCCAGGTAAACCTCCAGGTAAGGGAATGACTTAAAATGGCAGATTTGTGTGAAGTTAGTGACAGTATCAGTTACTAAGCTTCCTCTACAACCTTTTATCTATTTTCCCAAAATTTATTCCGTGCTAAATGATAAACACTGCATTCTCGTTGAAAATATGCTGCAATTTTTCAACCTTGTTATAGTGAAGGTGTTAATAGATTGCACATTTAATCAACGGTCTACTGTGTGCTTAGAATCTCTCTCTCTCTCTCTCTCTCTCTCTCTCTCTCTCTCTCTCTCTCGTCTCTCTCTCTCTCTCCTGTCTCTCTCTCTCTCCCTCTCCTGTCTCCTCTCTCTCTCGTCTCTCTGTCTCTCTCTCTCTCTCTCTCTCTCTGTCTCTCTCTCTCTCTCTCTCTCTCTCTCTCTCTCTCTCTCTCTCTCTCTCTCGCTCTCTCTGTCTCTCTCTGTCTCTCTCTCTCTCTCTCTCTCTCTCTCTCTCTCTCTCTGTCTCTCTCTGTCTCTCTCTGTCTCTCTCTGTCTCTCTCTCTGTCTCTCTCTGTCTCTCTCTGTCTCTCTCTGTCTCTCTCTGTCTCTCTCTCTGTCTCTCTCTCTGTCTCTCTCTGTCTCTCTCTGTCTCCTCTGTCTCTCTCTCTGTCTCTCTGTCTCTCTCTGTCTCTCTGTCTCTCTCTCTGTCTCTCTCTTTCTCTCTGTCTCTCTGTCTCTCTCTCTGTCTCTCTGTCTCTCTCTCTGTTCTCCTGTCTTCTGTCTCTTCTCTGTCTCTGCTCTGTCTCTGTCTCTGGTCTCTTCTCTCGTCGCTCTCTCTCTCCATATATTTTTTTTTTTTTCAACAAGTCGGCCGTCTCCCACCGAGGCAGGGTGACCCAAAAAAGAAAGAAAATCCCCAAAAAGAAAATACATTCATCATCATTCAACACTTTCACCACACTTGCACATTATCACTGTTTTTGCAGAGGTGCTCAGAATACAACAGTCTAGAAGCATACACATATAAAGATACACAACATATCCCTCCAAACTGCCAATATCCCAAACCCCTCCTTTAAAGTGCAGGCATTGTACTTCCCATTTCCAGGACTCAAGTCCGACTATATGAAAATAACCGGTTTCCCTGAATCCCTTCACTAAATATTACCCTGCTCACACCCCAACAGATCGTCAGGTCCCAAGTACCATTCGTCTCCATTCACTCCTATCTAACACGCTCACGCACGCTTGCTGGAAGTCCAAGCCCCTTACCCACAAAACCTCCTTTACCCCCTCTCTCCAACCCTTTCGAGGACGACCCCTACCCCGCCTTCCTTCCCCTATAGATTTATATGCTTTCCATGTCATTCTACTTTGATCCATTCTCTCTAAATGACCAAACCACCTCAACAACCCCTCTTCTGCCCTCTGACTAATACTTTTATTAACTCCACACCTTCTCCTAATTTCCACACTCCGAATTTTCTGCATAATATTTACACCACACATTGCCCTTAAACAGGACATCTCCACTGCCTCCAACCGTCTCCTCGCTGCTGCATTTACCACCCAAGCTTCACACCCATATAAGAGTGTTGGTACTACTATGCTTTCATACATTCCCTTCTTTGCCTCCATAGATAACGTTTTTTTGACTCCACATATACCTCAACGCACCACTCACCTTTTTTCCCTCATCAATTCTATGATTAACCTCATCCTTCATAAATCCATCCGCCGACACGTCAACTCCCAAGTATCTGAAAACATTCACTTCTTCCATACTCCTCCTCCCCAATTTGATATCCAATTTTTCTTTATCTAAATCATTTGACACCCTCATCACCTTACTCTTTTCTATGTTCACTTTCAACTTTCTACCGTTACACACATTCCCAAACTCATCCACTAACCTTTGCAATTTTTCTTTAGAATCTCCCATAAGCACAGTATCATCAGCAAAAAGTAACTGTGTCAATTCCCATTTTGAATTTGATTCCCCATAATTTAATCCCACCCCTCTCCCGAACACCCTAGCATTTACTTCTTTTACAACCCCATCTATAAATATATTAAACAACCATGGTGACATTACACATCCCTGTCTAAGACCTACTTTTACCGGGAAGTATTCTCCCTCTCTTCTACACAACCCTAACCTGAGCCTCACTATCCTCATAAAAACTCTTTACAGCATTTAGTAACTTACCACCTATTCCATATACTTGCAACATCTGCCACATTGCTCCTCTATCCACTCTATCATATGCCTTTTCTAAATCCATAAATGCAATAAAAACTTCCCTACCTTTATCTAAATACTGTTCACATATATGCTTCAATGTAAATACTTGATCTACACATCCCCTACCTACTCTGAAGCCTCCTTGCTCGTCCGCAATTCTACATTCTGTCTTACCTCTAATTCTTTCAATTATAACCCTACCGTATACTTTTCCTGGTATACTCAGTAAACTTATTCCTCTATAATTATATATATATATATATATATATATTATATAATTTAACACACACACACACACACACGTATATAATAAAAATGCATGTATGTGTGTATATAATGTATAATACACTAGTATATACACTATTTTTTGAATGCCACTCTACATAAGATACACTGTATAGTTCTTTGT